GCACCAGGATGAAATGGAAGTAATGCAGAGTTCATGGAGCCAAGGGCTCTGGTGTTGGAAGGGACAGAGTGTCTGGGAACTTGTCCTCTGGGGGGAAAGGAGCAGGTCCCAAGACTCAGATGAGCAGGTAGACCAAAATCTCCTATTCCAGCTAAGGAACAGAGAAGAAATGAAAAATGGTGTGATGGATGGACCAGTCTGTTGCAGCAAATGGCCTGCTCAGTCTAGAAGCTGGAGCCAAAGAGGAAAAGTATTTATCATGGAGAAATGGAATCTTGATAGACAAGGAGATGTGCTTGGGAACAAGGCAGAGAGAGCAAAGTTAAAAGGTCTGCTTTCACACAGCAGACAGAGCAGCATCTCAGGACATAAGATAGACTTGATCTGGATGGAAAGAACAGGAGAAAAATGCTCTGGGAGACAGAATGGTATAGCAGCACAGGAGGAAACATGACATTCTGGCTGTCAAAATGGAGCTGGAGAGGGAAAGGACCAGGTTGCAACTGGAGCTGATGCAGCTCAAAGATGTCGTGTACCAGTTGGAAAATGAACCCAGAGCTTAACAGAGTGTCAGGTTGGAGAGCAATCCTGTATGGAATTGGTGTTTAGCCGTAGCTATTGGATAAGACTGTCTGTTTAAAACAGAACTGGGCTTCTTTCTCACAAGTGCCAGTATTCACAGACTGGAAGTACCAATAGAAGTGGAAGGATGATGAGACACAGAACCTGATTTGGATTTGGGGTCATAGCTGTTGTGTCAAGGAAGCTGAGTTCTCCAGACCTGGCTTTATTGCAGTTGAGGGGCTGGGCTCACCACCTGGTGCTCCTGTAATGAAGTCTTGGTGTGTCTTGATGAGCCAAATCGCTTTGTTTCCATTCCTTGGAAAGACTGCAGAATAATTTTCACCAGCTGGAAGCCGCACAAATTAAGAGTCTGATGCTCTTTGTCCTTATTCCTCTTTATTTACCTACCTTTGAAGATCTGCTCCTTCTCTACCGTTGTCTCTTGGTTGTCCGCACATGTTTTGCCTGAGTTATTGGATGGTTGTTTTTCAGATTTCTTTATTTCTTGCTGTCCTTGGAAACCAAATGGAAATAGACCAGGGAGCCAGCATAGAATGCCAAGAGTAAACAGGGCTTTTGCATGGTTTTTTCACTCTGCTGTCTCTCCCTGCAAGGGAGATCTGTGCTGGCTGCTGGAGAACAGCTTGTTGAAGAGTCAGCTTAGAAGACTCCAGCAGGAACTGAGGCTAGCAAAGAAGGGCAGTGAACACTATGAGTAGGAGAAGAGACAGCTGCAAGAGGCTGGCAAATGGGTGGATAAAAGGAACAGCCACTCAGGTGCATTTACCAGATTTCAGCTGGCTCAACCTGCCTTCTGTTTTCTTATTTCTGAGCAAGCCAGCACTCGCACGCCCTTTGCTCCACACAAAAGCAGCCAGTGCTGAGATGGGCTTGGCCAGAGCAAGGTTTTGGGGGAGGCTGTGGAGGTGGGTATGTGTGGGAGGAAGGGTTGAGCTTTTTTGCTACACAAACTTTTTGGCCAGTGGCCTGTTTCTGCCTTAGGAAGCTTGAGGTAGGTGCTGAGGTCACCCACCAAGCCGTAAGTCTGAGGAGAAACAGGTTGCTGGTGTGGATGATACCAAGAATCTGTTAATTTGTCTCTCCTACTATTCTTCGTCTCTTGAGTTTTAGGCCTCTGACAGCGTTGCGGGACTTTAGATGTTCCCAGCTGTCTGCCCTGGGCTGGGCTGGGTCACCTGTTGGGGCAGAGACACCTGACTCGCTCCTGAATCAATACAGGACCGTATTTGTTTTGGCTTGGCTTTGCTTCCTGTTGCAGGCCAAAATCAGATGTAGGACTACCCAAAACAGGGCCCTCCTCTGGCGAGCTGTGGTTTGCTGCTCTCTGGCCTGATCATATCCCTCTTCCCAACAGGAAACCCATGAACAAGTTGGGCAGAGAGAAGGTGGAGGAGCTGGCTGAAATGACAGAGTTAACAGCATTGGTAAGAGGCCATTAACACTGACAGGCTCTTGGCTGAAGGATTTAGGAGGACAAAAACTGCATGTGCTCATAGAGGAGAACAAACGTGTTTGTTTCAAACATTCAAACATTTGAAGAAACAGCTTCATCTTATAACTTGTCAAGTAGGGAAAACCTGTGTGCCAAAAGCCAGTGAAGGTCTTACAGAACGGCAAGTATTGCTACAAAGTCTCTAACGAGGTTGACTTTACCTACTTGCGGTATTTCTCCCAGAGATTTTGCTCACTCCCAGATGCTCAAAGGCCTTTGGACATGTCTGCACACAAGGCCTGGCCAGGATTTTTTGTATGCAACATGAACAAGGCAGGCAGGCTTTTAAGTTCCCTACTCTGTTCCTGGGATACCTCGTGATTTGGAACCACAACCTGGTTTTTTGGATGTTTTTCGTACCCTTCAGGGCCATCAGCTGCAGCAGGGTGGCCTTTGCTGGCCCTTGCTGGCTTCAGCTTCCAGTAACCTGCTGCCCGTTTCCTGCTTTTTCTCCTTTGGAATTGCCCATTTTCCTGTGAGGATAGCGGAGGAATGGGATCTTGCCACCCTGCTGTTAGATGCAGGCTTGCTGATGTTGTCTCTAGTGTGGTCTGGTCAGAACATGGGCCAGAAGCTGCACTTTGCTCAGCCTTACTGCAAGGGAAAGTGTCCTATGGGTAGCACCTGGGGGATGGTGCCCTTTAGTGTCAACGCGGGCTCTTCTTGTAGCCCCTACTCTGCTCTTTTGTCTGTACTTTTACATGTGCATGTGAACACATTTCCATTCATACTCTCTTCTTACTAATCTGTACAGGCCTGTGTCCCCCTTCTCCCTCAGTGACCTCTCCCAGGGCTGTCAGCTGTGCAGGTTTCCTTTTTTAGGAATGCTGTGCCACTGGGCCTTGGTCAGGCTGGGACATGAGGACACTTGTCCTGAGTGCCCACAAGGCCCTGGAGCAGTGTCCCTGGGTGGGAACCCAGCGGGGACAGTGTGGGGCAGATTAAGTGTCTGTTGCCTCTGTTCCCACCCCAAGCCTGTGTGCATGATTTCTTATTTTTTTTTTTTCCCCCACCTTTTCCAGAGCGAGAAGAGCAAAGAGATCTCCCACCCAAATGTCAAGGTGCATCAGCTGGGCTGTGAACTCACTGGGCACAAGGCTGGTCACAGTGCTGGCCCTGGCAGTGCCCCACTGCAGAGCCAGAGGCTTGCAGAGGCCGAGTGGCCACGAGGAGCAGAGGAGGCTGCAAGGCTGGAACACCACCAGAAGCATGCAGCATGTTGGATGGAGATGGAGCTGCTCCAACAGCAGCTCAAGGCCTCGCAGGAGAAGGTGGGTGTCTTTCAGCTGATGGCAGGCTGCTGAGTGGTCCCTGTGATTGCTGTGATTCTGCCCTGTGGACAGGCTCAGGGACTGGCTTTCCAAGGTACAGCTTACCCATGTCAGCCACCCCTAGGTAGCCCTAGTGCAAAGTGGGACCAGACCAGCTTCCCAGTACCAGGTTTGTTCTTTGCTGGTGGCAGGAAGCAGAGGACATGTTGTACAGGACATGTGGTACATCCCAGCTTGCCTGGGATATATCCAAGAACCCAGGTGAGCAGCCCCCTCTTTCTCTTGCCACTGTGGCCCTTTGTGCTGGGATTTCCTCCCAGAGGAGTCCTCCAGCAACTACTGCTCCTTGCTGCTCAGAAAAGGATCTCTGCTTATCCTCCTGCAGCTCTTGGTGCTCTCAGTCCCTTGCTTTGCAGGCTGCCCATTAAGCACCACTCCCATGGTGCTGCAGGGTGCTGAGGGTGCGGTGAGGGTGCTACCTAACCTCTCCATCACCTGCAGCACATCCTGGGCCTGTCCCACTGTTGACTCAGAGCTGTAACCAGCTCTCCACCTGTCTGTGTTACAGCTTTTAGAAGCCAGAGCAAGCCTGAGCCTGGCCCAGACCCAGCACGCTCTGCAGATGAAGCAGGCCAAGGCCCAGATAAACAACATGGTGTCAAAGCAGCAGTTTGAGCAGCTGCAAACCACCTTGAGAGAGGAACAGTGCAAGACTCAGCAGCTCCAGGAAAGCCTCCATCAGCAGGCTGAGCAAACACGCAGGCAGCTGGTCAGGACCCAGGTAAGTGGGTAATTATGGGAGCTCAGTCAGGGGTACTGTGAAGGGAACACTGCTGTCCTGGCAGCCTGGAAGGCAGCTGTGGTTGAAGGTACCAGAGGTTTGAGTAGAAGATGCTATATGTAAAGGACCCACATGGAAAATACACTTACCTTCAAATTCAGCTGCAACTTTTAATTCCTCATGAAACCAGTCACTGCCCTGTACTCAAACATGAGCCCTCCCCACTCAAATCCACATACCCCAGACCAGGCATCTACTTTGTGCCTAGAGGAGCAGGAGTTATCCAGGGAGAGACTCTTTTGGCTCAGACTGGGGGAAAAAAAAGTTTGAGCCCTCTGTGTGGAGTTCACAGAGTGTGTGGGGGGTTTATCTCTGGGGCACTGGGCAACAAGATGTTGGGTTTTTGTGAGTTTGTCTTGTGACAAACAGGGCAAAGATAGAGCAAATTATAACCTAAGGAATTAAAATGAGCACACACAAAGACTGTGTTGAAGGAAACTGTGTCTCTCCCTGGACTTTTCTGGACATGCCTGGGAAAGGGGAGGCCACTGGCTTGTTTTTATAGAAAACACTGCTGGGAAATCTTAAAATTCGCCAGGTGCAGACCTAGAGAAGGTTGTACTGCTCTAGACACCTTTCCCACTGCTCTTTGTATCCTGCACCTCACCTGATCCCACCCTGCTCTCCTTCAGGGAGTGTGAAGGTCTATGAACAGGGCCCTGGGGAAATGTACAGTCCAGGGTTGCCAGAGGCCAGGGGAGTGCTAGGACAACCCAACCACGGGCTTTCTTGCCCACTGCAGGTGGAACATGAGCATCTGCTGCAGGCAGCTGTGGAGCAGGCAGAGGGGCTGGAACACAGCCTGAGGAGTGCTGAGGCTGTGCTGGCAGAGAGGGCAGCTCAGCTCAGAGATGCACAGGTGAGTGCAAGAGGGGTTAGTCCTGGGTGTTCCTACCTGCCTGGTACCCCTGCATGGCATGCTGAACCTGAAGCCTCCTGTCTCTTCTGTAGGCCCAACTCTCCAGGAACAAACTGTTGATCAAAGACCTCCGTGGGGAGAACAGGGGGTTTGCAGTGGCCCTGCAGGCTGCTGAACTGCAGCAGAAGAGCATGAAGGAGAAGAACCAGCTGTTGGAGGAGCAAGCCTCAGCTCTGAAGCAGCTTATCGGAAAAATCACCCCAGCATCTCTGAGTGGGTGATGGGACACCTTCAGTGGCAGTCCTGCCCTCGGTCCTGGCTGGGGTTGGTCAGGTGCAGAAGGGGAGGTATGGCTGGGTTGGGAAATTAGCCTTGTCCTCTCTGGTCTTGCAGGGTGTTCTTGCATAGAAAATAGATAATGAAGAGCCCAGATCTTTAAGGAAGTTTGTCCTGTGGATAGCTGAATTTTCCAACTGAAAGCACCAGCTTTGCCGCATTTCTCAGAGGTAGAGTGTGCTGTTATAAGTCAGGTCTGTCTCAGGGCAGCCATCCCACAGGATTTTCTTAAACTCCAGCAGTGTTTGGTGGTGATGCAGATGCTCCCTTTCTGCGGAGGGTTGATGTTCAGGCCACACTGTTATGGCTGGAAAGCCAGGGCAGAAGGGCTTGCATGTTCCTGTGTCTGGCTCACTCTGATCAGGAAAGCTTTGTGGTGGCATTAAAACGTTTGTAATATTACAGCACTTCCTGCCATCTCCAGTCTGCTCTGTATTTCAGTAACCTTCCCCAACAGTTGCTGAATTTTCATTCCCTACAGCTCCTCTTGGGCTCTAGGAGACTGGTCCACCCAAAGCCTGAGCCTAGGATCCAAAACCAACCAGACTGTTGCCTCTGTAGTGAGTGTGACAGAGCGTAGAGCTTTCTTTCTTTTTGAGCCTCCAAGGCTTGGGGCTTGATGAGTGTTGATGACCCCTACTCAGCACACTTCAGAGGAGACAGGAGACATGGTAAATGAACTGTGTCCTCTTGCCTTCCTTGGTGGCCTTTACAAATTGACAGTTAGTACTACTGCCAAAGTAAGTTGTGTAAAAGGCCAAGTATTCACATCAGCATATACCAAATTTATTGCTCTGCCCTCTGCATGGAAGGTGCATCATTGCCCCAGTGCAATGGCGAGAGCAGAGGACATATACATAGGGGCTGTGGTTGCCACTCGCTGTGAAAAGACTCCTAGGATTTTGGGGGCTATGGAGACAATTGTAGGAGAGACCAGACAAGCCTGACTATTTCAGGGGACCAGTGCAGAGGCTGGACAAAGTCAGTACAAAGAAGAGGGCTTAAAAATAGCTCACGCTGTTGTTGGTTCAGGAACAAAAGGGGATAAATTGGCTGTGAGCTGAAACTCAGGTACTGTGTTTAAGGCTGCCCTTCAGCCTGCTAGAGCAGAACTTCTGGCCCTGGGGCAGGGCTTGGAGATGACTGGAGGCTGTGACTGAGGAGGCCTCCTTGGTTTAGCTGTACTTTTTTTGCCCTGATGCATCGACAGCTGACGCTCCTCTTTGCCTTGGGGGCAGCCCTGAGTACAAGGGCCACAAGGTGAAGCTGGGCTGTTATAAGGAGGGCAGCCCCACAGAGGGGCTCAGGGATATTGCTTGGCTGAGGGTGGGAGAGCAACGCAGTAGCGCCCCAAGCATTTATCCTGTTCCTGCATTCTTCCCCAACTGCTTGCTTTTTCAGCTCCAGTCAGAGATGGGGGCTAAGCAAACCTCTAGGGCTATGTTTTTGCAACTGTTCTCTCAGCCACTTCTCCTGAGTGAGCAGCTCCATTGGGAAAACCAGACAGGGAAAACAACTCTTCAGCCTTGTTCTGGTTTTGTGCTAACTGAAATCCTTTAAACCCTCAGCTCCCTTTCCTACCCCTACACCAAACAGTCCCTAGGCCTTGCCAGACCAGTGCTTGGGGAAGCCCAGTCCTTGGGAGAAACCCACACTGCTCATTCACACAGCACCTCAAGAAACAACATTTATAGGTCTCTGATGGGAGACAAGGCAAGAAGCTTGCACGGCCTTTTCTGACACTTGGAGGAAGTTTCACTGAGACACTTAAATAACCATCATGCTGCAGGGTCAGGACAGGTTTGACTAGAGAGCCAGATCAGAGTGCTTAATGAACACAACATTAACTCTTATAAACCACTACAGTGAAGGCTGAAGCAGTTCTTTATTTTGCAACCACAGAGCTTTCCTGACTTCCAGAGCCCAGCCAGTCGGTGTCTTACTCCCATGTGAACAATGAACTATTCTAAACAAAAATGCATTCCCAAATGCTAGCTGTAGGTCTGGGGCTTGGATAACGTCCCACTCCCCCCTTCCTACCCCCCAGATTCCCAGGATCACTACATTACCAGAACGCACCATTTCCTCCCAAAGAGGTGGCCAATGTGGTTTGCATAATATAGGGCTGATCTTCAGGTAGGGCACCAAAGGCTGTTGGGAGGAGTGGAAGGGTGCCACTGCAGAAATGCTAAGGTGTCTGAAGTGCTGCACACACTACAGTTCAGTCCCCACTGTGGGCAGGCCACCAAGCAAGAGTTGTCCCTCCTGTCCTCCACACTTAGGACAGAATGTGCTCCAGGACTCCTTGTCTGATTAACTGCTCGCATTTCCAGCGGGGTAAAAAGTGCTGCACAGAAACACAGGAAAACTTTCCTTGAATTTGTTGGATTTGTTGCTGCACACAGCCAGCTCTGTTTGTCGGGCTGTATATTCACTGCATCATGGTACTGGACTAGGCAGAGCTGCAGTCTGGGCCATGCAGACAGCTTGCAGCATGTGCAGGGAGCTGTGTGTGCAGGAATTGTGACATGCTGCAAAGCTGGGATAAGCAGGGGGATGTCATGGGAGTGAAAGGGAAGGAAGAGAATGGACTATGCTCTTGTAATGGGTACCTGGCTGTTCTTCTTCAAGAGGATGGTAGTCTCATCGTCAATCTCAAATTCGCCATGGTCTTTTAAACACCGCACCTGCGAAGCAGAAACACAGCTCTCAGATCACCCCGTCTCCCATAGAAACACTAGACATCACTGCTGGCTTGCAACATGTGCCCCAGGACTGTGACACACTCCTTCCTGCCTGAGGGAGTCTCAGTACAGAGCAGACCTAGAAATGCAGAACTGGTCTGTGGGCTCCACCTGATGTTCTCTTCCTGCCTCTGCCTGGAGCAAGAGCCCAGTCTCTCCAGAGACTTGAGGAAGAGAAGCACAGAGATAGGGTCTAGTGACCCTCCCCTCCCCACAAACGTACCAGAAAATGCCAATCTGTTTTAACAATGAAACTGCTTAAGGAGCAGGTTTGTCGTCACTACTTGTTTTTTTGAAGAGAATATCAGAACAAAGCACTTTAGCTACTGACTGTGATTTCTCACATGCTCTTGCTTTGTTGTATCAATTGTGTAAAGCAATGTATAGTCTCATCTATAAGAGTCCATTTAAAAAAAAAAAAACAAAAAACACAAGAAAACCCCCTAGGTAACAGTCCTTAACATGGCAATATGGTTTCTGGTTGATCTGAGAGCTGGTTAAGTTTCTCCAAAAGCTGCAGAAACCTCACTGGATAACTCACCCCATCACAAATGCCCTACAGACCAGGAATACCATCTTTGACCATACATTGTGTCCTCAGTAGAAGTAAAACAGTGGCAGAGTAAAATCCAGAAGCCTGTGGAAGCTTTGGTGCTCTCAAAGGCTTTGCTCAATGAACTGACTTGGGATGGGGATAAAATTCTCTAAAAAAGATGGTCAGGTAAATGTTTGTTCAGACAGAAATCACAGATCTTGCACTTACTTCAATGTACAGGCTCTTAGGAGGTTTTATGTCCTGTGTAAGGTCCAGCCCCTCCTCTCCTCCTACTGACCTCATGTACGTAGCCAGAGACTTTTTGTACCGATTGAACCACTCCACCTGTGGGAAGTAACAGTGATCCCTCAGTCAAAGCCAAACAGCTAATGCTGAAAGACAGGTCCCTGATGAATGAGATCTAGTTTATTTGTGCTGCCAGACCACTGTTCCCAAGCATGCTCCTGACAGCCAAAGGTGAACGAACACAAGCTCTTCTAAAAGGAAAAACCACCTCTGAGGCAGTGCACTCTGGATTAAGTGTAGGACAGATGCTGCTGATGTCAGCAGCTCCGTACATCGGTCTAGAGACAGCATTTGAGAGCAGCATATACGGACCTAGTTCTCTTGGTCTCTCTGTGAGTCTGATCTAGTAGAGCCCACCTGATCCTTAAAAGTGCATTAAAACGTGTGCTCGGTGTCCATTTGTGGTTGTACCCATAGACAATGAATAAACAAGTATTTACAGAAAGGCATGTTAAGTATCATGTTTGTAGTGGGGGGGAGAGGAGGAGTAAATAGAAAGAGGGGAAGAGTTTAAAACAAGGCTGACTCACTTCCTCGGCTGACATATGGAACTGGATAGTGTTTGGCAGGACGCTGCCATACTCCCACCTCAGCGCTCGGATCCGCAGCAGCCGGTCGTACCTGGGGGAAGAAGCGCGGCAAACCCAGCATCCCTGAGGTGAGTTCTGCCAACATCCCCAGGCAACAGTGATGGCCCAGTCTGCCCTCAGAGCAGAGAGCAAACACTGGGGTCATTCCACCTGTGATATTTGGCCTATTCATAATGAAAACTCTTAAAGGGCAGAGGGAAGCAGGGCCTTCTCTCTGTGGTGGTACCGGCAATGAAGGCAAGGAGAACCAGCCCCGCACCTCGCGGAGGAACCACCTGCCCGGGCCGAGTTCCAGCACCCTGCCGCTGGGGGCCCTGTGCCGGCGGGGGTGAACCAATGCCCCGTGGCACCGACGGCCGAGAACCGCACTCACAGGTAGGCCAGGAGGCAGCGCTGGTTCCGGAGCAGGCAGCAGTGCCGGAACCGGATGAGGAAAATTAGGTCTGTCCGTCCCGACTTTGCTTCGGACCTGAAGGATGAGGAAGAGGAAGATGAGGAGAATAAGGTCGGAGCCCGGGGCAACTCCCGAGCTCTGCGGGACGCGCCAACACTCACACATCCGCCTGGTTCCGCTCGTACAGCGCCCGCATCTCCTCCAGCGCCTGCCGCAGCCCCTCCGTCTGCAACACAGGACACAGTCAGCGAGAGCGGAGCCCCTCCCGCTCGCGGCGTTCCCGGTCGTCCCGTCCCTGCTCACCCGGAATGGCGGGAGGTGCCCGCCGGCGGCGCGGTGCAGTTCCCGCACCAGCTCCATCACTCGCTCCCCCGCCATTCCGCGGCCCCGCGCGCCAGAAACCCGCGGGAACCGCAGCCAATGGGGGCCGCCGGCGCGGCCGCGCGGGGCGGGGCGAGGCCAATAGGGACCGCCTTGGAGGGCGTGGCCTTTGGCGGCTCCGCCCCCCCGGCGTTCCGTGCGGTGAGTTGTGCCGGTCTCGGCGCCCCCGGGTGATACCGGTGCGGCTGTTGGGCACCCTTGGGGACACGTTGAGAGACCCTGAGTGGGTAAGGCACTGCCTGACTGCCTCTGGCAACCTCCTCCCCGCACCACCCCAGCTTATGACAGCAATGTCCTTCAACCTGAAACATACCAGAAGTAAAAAAAAAAAAAAATTGGGTGCGTTTCTGGATGGGACAGGAAATTTTTTTAACACTCAGAACCCTTGAAGGGATTCACTAATCCAGCACCATGGCGTATCCTGCTCCGGTAATTTATTTCTCCAACCATGTGTTTCTTATGGTTAC